GCGCCGCCGCCCGGCCACGGCCGCGCTCCGAGCGGGGAGCCCCGCACGCCCCTTCGCCCCCCGCCCGGCTCTGCCAGGAGCGGAGCACACCCCTTTCCCTGCCCCCCCGCGGGGGGAATCCCCCCGAATGAACCCCCCCGGGGGGGGGCGGGATGCGGCCTCGGGGGGCCCCCCCCCTCCCCCCCCCCCCCCCCCCCCGCGTCCTCCTCCTTCTCGGCGTGAGAATCAACCCTCATTAACTATTTAGTCTTAGTAATAATTCATGCACTGTATGAATAAACAAAAAGAAGTTCTGGGATATAATACAGAAACCTGCACCCTTCCTCGGCTTCTTGCGTGTCCTTGCTCAACTCAAGTACTTAACTGCTTTTTCATGCCTCTAAAGTGTAAAGGGGAAGCAAAGTATTTAATGGTACTTGTGAGCCATATAAGAATCTGCTCTGATGGCTGTTTTAAAACCTGTTTTCAAAATATTTCTTCCCTCCAGCCCTTTAATTTGACTCGATCCTTGGCAAGAAACTGATCACCGCATGCTTTGGTTCTCTGTAATGTCTCTTTCCTGTAGAACACCTGATTTCAATTTGAAGGAGAGATTATTGGCCCCGATGACATTCCCTCCCTATTGAACAGGAGCAGAATGAGATTTCCAGCTGATCTAGCTTTGCCACAGTTCAAAACAAGTCATTTCAGCTGTGAAGCCCGAGGATCATCCTCTCTACTGCTTCCCCTCACCGTGGTTTGGTTCTGCACCACACCAGTTCCAGCCATCTTAAATGTAAAATAATAAACTGTGCATTTGGATAGTTAGGATGACACCATACAAATCATGCCCATCTTAAGTGGATAGTTGCATTCACACACCTTTACATTGGCAAGAGCAAAGAGTCTGACTTGGCTGCCTAATTACTTAATTAGTAGAATCTCAGGAAACAGCTGTTTCTGGCTGCAAGCAAGGTGATGCACTCCAGGAAATCTCCGGGGTGGTCATTCCAAAAGCACCTCAGTAATTTATCTCCAGTGTATCAAAACAACTTTTTTTTTTTTCAAATATAACTTTTTAGCTTCTTACCTTTGATGAGGATGCCCTGTTGTTAGCCCCACTCTTAGCCATGGGGTGTGGGGAGAAGTACACACATGGTGTACAAGTATATGTGTGTATACATGGATATGCTACATAACCATAGCAACAAGAAAAAGAGGCAATGGTACATCAGCACGTGAAGACACACCCCTCTGATTCCACTCTGATTACATCAATGTTCTGCATAGCATGTACTCTCTTATTTAAGAGATTTCTTTTTGTGAAACAGGTCTGTATATCCAATTCCTGTTAGCTTAGATCTGTTTGTGCTTATTTAGTAGTAAAACCAGTGTCTATCTACACACCAAATTGAATGTAATTCAAGCCAAGTTTTCTATTTTCCATTTGGTACAGAGTCTAAAATAGATATATAATTTAAACTGGTCATGGCTAGATTCTCAAATAGACCTGATTAATCTAAATCTGTATTAAATGCTATTTAAAAATAAAACCTACTGTGTGTGCATACAAAAATTTGCACCATGTTAACAGATTTAAAGCACAGCTTCAAACACATCTTGAACAACCTCATGGATAAAGAATGTCCTAACCATTACTGATTTGTTCTTCTGTTCACTAGAAGCATTCAAAAGCCCACAGGTACTACAGAAAATAACACAAGGAGCTTGGCAGAAAGTGCTCTGGAAGCAGCCGGTCCCAGAGATGTGGCTCTTCCTGTAGTCCAGCTCAGTGCCCAAAGGCTCAGACATTCAGAGAGCATTAGTAATCTTACAAGCATTTTCAACTGACCAGGGCAAATGGATGGAAAACAAAAAATCCCATTCTTGCAGCCAATACTATTCTTGCACCTCCTCCATCGGCAACAAATCATCTTCCTTTATCACCAGAAAATCTGACCTCCTGATATGATCTTATTGGAAGTATAAATAGCTGAAAAGCCTGACATTCAGATATTAATTAGAACTGTGTTCCTGAATATTCATAGCAATTACATAAAAAAAATTGTCTGATGGCACTTTTGCAAGAATGAAATGTTTGTCCTGGCAAGTGAGCTGGATTTCAGCTCAGATAACACTTCTGTGAAATATTGTTCTTGCACTCTCAGTTGGTCATTGAATGTTTCTTGATTTTGACCTAAATTATTGTGAAGTTGCTAACTGTGTGGTGTTAAACTGTTAGCCCTGCCAGCCACAAAGCTTGTGACACTTTGGAGTTTGATGAAGGATTTTTAAGTAGGCCTAGTGCCTTTCTGAGCATTTGTCAGGCTGTCTGTGTGCCACAGCTAAAAGGCAATTTTACTCCAAGTGTATCTGAATATGTGTGGGCTCAGTTGCCAGCTGAACTGCAAACGCTGGGAAACGACAGTGTTTCCACCTGGGAGAAAAACAAAAAAGAAAAACAAACCCCCATCACCTCGTAGCTCATGGAGTAAAAAGTCTCCATTCACAAAGAAGGCTCGCATCCCTGGAAAGCCTGGCTCTACAGGGATATTTAAAATCCATACGAGTCAGGTTTGCTTTGCTGCCAGTAGAGGGCAGGAATTAACAGCAGCACTTACACCTGAATATTATGAAAAAGAGTAGGTGTAAAATGGGGGGTTACTATACGCCATATCTGTCTTACACACTGATAAATAAATGTAAAAGGCTATATAATCAGTTCAACAGGCTGAAAGTACCCATGTTGGAATTTATAATTACATAAATAACTAATAAATGCACCGGAATGAAGCCTTACAAAGAGAAATCATTTGTCTACTTCTTCACCCAGTCATGGAGCAACATCTAAGCTTTTTTTTTTTTTTTTTTAAATTCCCAAACACATGGTCAGCAAATGTTTGAAGACTGAAAAGTCTAAGATAAACTTTACGACTGATTAATCTGTTTGGTATAAGATGTGAGATGTACCCATCAACCCATACCTTGACCACAGGAATTTCAGCACTTAAAGAGTAAAATTATTTTAAACTAAGGACATCTGTGAGCACTGCAATAGAAGACATACCTTTCTTCCAGGTGTTAAGCAACATACATTGGTTTAAAATGTGGTCATGGTGAATCCATACAATCAAGTTAAAAGGGCATGGATTTTTACCCATTCCCATGAGTTTAAAAATTTGATGCCATAGTGCTTAATGATGACAGCAAACAACTGCCTCTTACTCCTAAAAATCGATGTGTTGTATCATTGACTTACAGGGGTTGACTTTGGGTATTTGACAAATTCCATGTGCCTCAGTTTTTCTTTCTGAAAAGGGGATTAATTACACTTACCTGTCTCTCAGGACTCTCATGATGCTCACTGGTAACTTCAGACTTCTCTAAGATACAGTACATCTGTATGTATAATATGAAAAGAATGACTGGAGTCACTGGGTCCTGCCACTCCCTTTGCCCACACATACACACCTCAGAGAAATGCAAGTTTAAAGGCAGAACAAAGTACTTTTTTGGAGGAAAACTGATTACCAGAACTGGTGAAACAATCCTATCTTCAGGATCAGCCCTTGCCTGAAATCATTGCCTTGTGCTACCATATTTGATGCCACATTGTGACATCGTGCTTCAGATGCTGTATTTGGGAGTAGTTTCTCTAAAGGTTGTGTCTGGCAGCAGTGAAACAGGTTGCATCAGTACAATTCCCATAGCAAGCTGCTGGGGAGGGAAGTATCTGCTTAACAAACCAGTGTTGTGGCACACTGCCCTCACCACACCGCAGGAATTCCACTGGAACCGTGTCCTTACATGTTCCTTCTTCACTTGCTCCTCCCTTAAGCCACCCATTTGCATCTACAGCAGATATGAATCTCTATTGTTTTTAACAGTTTTACAACCTTTGGGATGATTGAATTCGTAGGATAAGAAAGATTTAAACAAATCCAGTCAGTCCTCTGCTAAGCAATCCATCATTCCACAAGCTACAGAGCACTCAATAGTTAAGAATCCAGCCATTTAAATGATACTTGTTTCTGCAGCTGGGCAACATCCTCATTTCCCACGAGGGCTCTTTCCAGTTGCTGCTCCATGTTTCTAACAATCAAATGGATCAATTCTGTGGATACCTTAAGGCTATGTGTTAAGTAAGAATGATGTTTGTGGCGTGCGTTGGGTGGGGAAGGAGGTGGTGGAAAAAGAAGCATTTCATTCACCAGAAAAGTTGATGTATTTTCTGTTTTAAACACTGGACATTTATTTAGAGTCTTTAGAGCCCATACATTATTGAATAATTTTAATTTATCACATTCAAATATATTAGGCAAATATATAATACAATAAATTGCATTTGTACACATAAATACAAAATTTGAGGTAGGGCCTCAAGAATAATGATTTCTGAAATTAATAACATACAGCATTATAATATACACTACATGAGATATATACGATGCATCCTTTGTAACATAATATATCTTTTCCACATACAGCTCATGAAAAAATTATAATGATCTGGTTAGGGTACAAATCTTTATCCATAGGCAGCAGTACCCCATAGAATGCCTGTAAATATATATATATATATATTTATATATGACATTACGCAAGTAATTAAGATTTAACCCATCAGCGATGGGTCCGTAATAAAGTGCCATAGGACACAGGGCGCAAATTCTCAGCTGGTGTAAATTGTCACAGCTCCAGACAAAGCTGTGACAATTTATACCAGCCAAGCATCTACCTTACAAGGTAATACTACATAATATAAAGGACAGATAAGAACATGTTTTAGTCAATCAATAATTTTCCTAACAATGGAAGATTGCTATAAGGCAAATGGTTACCTGAAGATGTATCTAGATGCTATGGGCAAACAGAAATATTGCAAGAATTAAGGTCCAGCCTGGTTCTCACATTATGTTAAACCCATCAGGAAAACCTTCTCTCTTTGCAATAGAGTGCCTGAGGGTGACAAAGGCAGAAACCCCAATATCCCTCCCCTCCCCCCTCAAATCATCAACCTGAGTAACTCAGGAATATCAAGCTCTGACCATTTTACAAATACCTTAAGTGCACACCATTCAACTCCAAACCAAGAAACAAGTGTCTCTTACAACAGTTTTATAGCAGAACAGAGAAGCTTTCTGAGATGCCAGCTGTCAAAAGTTCTGCTGCCTACAACCCACAATCCCTACAAGTCTGTCCTTGATTGCAAGAAGAAGTGGAGCTGCAGAATAAGAAACCAATAGGAAAACCAATGACTGCCACACATAACAGGCAACAAGAAATCATATTATCCATACAACTGTACATAACAAACAGACCAAAGGTATTTAAAATCAAGCAGGTGTTGGAATTTGACGGTAAGAGACAGTCACACAACGTATCAGAAGCAATGATCTTCAGTGTGGAGGCACGTCTAATGCAGTCAGTGGAGCAGAACCTAACCAAAAGACTACTTTGACTCAATTGAAACATCATGTAAAGACAATCCAAGTCTTTCTCAATTAAAGGTCATTTTGTTAAACCCTTCTTTTGGAAACAAAGTGCTGCCTTGTCTAGCTGAAACACAGGTTTTGAAAATTGCATATTAAAAACACTAGGGAGACCCCAAAGAATTTGAAGATGGTAAGCATTTGCATTAGGTATAATCTTTAATGCATACGATAATGCATCTCAGCTCATCCAGAAACTCAATTTCAAAGAAAAAAATATGCGTTATAATTTCACCAAATTTAAACATTTTTTACTCACAAGATAGATAGATCTGCAAGTACGTACATCACATTTTTACTAGTATGGCTTTTTCCCCTCCTTTTTTTTTTAAAGATCTTTACTGGTATGTTATTAGTTACTAAATTTATTTTTAGAAAATTATCAAAGTACATGCAAACTTTTCCTAGAATATGGTAAATGAAGTGCATTCCCAAACTTCAAGATTACTTCCATTTAAAGAAGACACTGCTGGTTAATTTAATCTCAACTCTCAGATTTGGCCAGTAAAATATTTTTTTAAAAAGTCTGATGTGACAAAAAAAAAACAAAACTGCTTTTAACAAACAGCGAAAACTTCACATCTTCTGTGATTTTTGTACGCATTTCTCCCCCTTTTCCAAAGGTTTTTGCAAGCCTAGTAATGGGGTCAAAGCTGAAGATAAAGATCAGCTGGAAAAAAAATCACTATCATCTGTTTACAGAGTTTCAAAGTCAAGCCTAATCCTGCGCTAATGACTTACCAGGCACAGGAACAACATCTAAATTAAAAAGCAAGCAGATTAATTACATAAATCATGGAAAGCAATTCAATTGCAATTTCATACGCATTCTGGTTTGGTAATCCAAGCCAAAAGATATCATACCCCAGCAGTACTCCTTCAAATGATAACTCTTTCGTAATTCATGTAGACAGTAGCTGACATCCTTACACTGAGGTAATTTTATTGCAATTAGTTAATCCCAGTTTGTCTTGAGACAAGCTAATAAGTGAAAGGATTCAGTACTCTTAAACTGTTTGAGTGTGTTTTCTTCTTTCAAAAGAGGACCAAATCTGTGGATACTTGTTGTTTTTCAATCACAGTAGTGAGGATAAACTGGCTTGGACTCCAAAAATCAAACCAAGATGCTAAGGAATATTGGCCAAGAGAGGCCTAAAGCAATTTGTCCTGACAAAAAAAGCCTAATTTCTACTAGAGGTACTGACATCAAAAAACAGAATCCTTAGCTTCCTTTCTGCACCCAGGGAAGGTCTCTCAGCCTCACCTAGACGTGGGGACCAAATTTCCAGCTCGTCTTAGTGGACCTTCATGAGATCAGACAAAGCATGGCTTCTGAAACCCGCCTCTGTCAGGAAAATAAAAGCCAGAAGCAAGAATAACAAGTCATTTATTAAGACAGCAGGCGAAGCTGAAACAAGGGGGCACAGCTTTGAGGCAGAGAAGCTCACAGGAGGGTTCTGTCCTGCTGCTGTGTGAGACAGGGACCAGCAAGAGCCCGTGGAGTGGAGATTCGGTGGGTCAGCGTAAAATGTTGCGGAATTTGCCCTCCCTTCCCTGGGTGACAACCCCTGACTGCGCTTCAGTTGTTCTGCACGAGGATTAAAGGTCTCCAGCAGTGCCTAGAACTGGCAACACTAATTGCCCCGTGAAAGAGGAAGTTCAGCAAAATGATTAATATATTTAATATACATATATATATACACACACACACAGAGAAAAGAAGTTAACAATTTGTGAAAGTGTTACTTTAAGGTTTAGTTTTTTGTTTTCTTCAACTGGATGAAACAACACCTACTGATCTACGGACACACATGAACGGAGGATTTACCTGAGACCCTGCAATATGAAGACAGACCGACAAAAGAACAGGATAGAAACAGTCCCCTGAAAGGAAAGAACATTTACGGGCTACTACAGTAGCGTCCAGGGAGGGAAAAAAACTGGATAAACTACTCTAAGCTCATCATCTCTACACTGATTGATAAGATATTTATAGGGACATAAAACATCACTAGCACACACTACATGAACACTGATCACTGTTAAAAAATATCATATATGTATGTATAGGATATAACATACATATGTATAAGATAATAAAGATTACCGTTTTGCCAATTATTGAAGATATATTTTTCTCCCTCATTCTAGTGCATTTACAATAAGTTGGGCTAATTTTCTATTTAGGTAAATAAATGTACTCTTGAAAAGCTCTATTTTTCACTCCACCCAATAGGTAACAAAACTATTTTAATCTAGTATTCATATCACTGCTTATATCTGATTTCTAAAATATAATGCTTTAGAATGTCCTACTGCTATGCAATGTTATAATGGCCATCTACTAGATTGTCCTCTCACCTCAACTCTTGTATTTTGTATATCTAAGGTTGCAACCATGTGGATGACTGCAGTGGTTAATTACTGTGGATTTTGGTTTTTTTTGTTTAATGAAAATGTTTTAATGTAAAGAAAACTCCTATTCACATTTCAGAGAGAATACTGCTTCGAAGAATTTATGTGTTATATATATAATATATAGACCAGTGGGGTCCTGCTATTTCCCCCTTGGCTGAAAGAGAAGAATACATCATCTGAAGGTTATAGGTTATATAAAGATGTTTATAGGCAAATGAACAGGGAGTCACAAAGTTGAACAGCACATCTAACTTCTAATAACTGTTTTCAGGTGGTAACTAGACTACACTTACCACTCTAAGAATACAAAGTTAGGCACAAATTATATGATGGCTTCTTGAGGAGATACTGTAAACAAAAGCAGAGAAACAAGGAAAATTATGTTCAGAGTATTGAAGTGAGTAAAAACACAGTTGCACTTCTTGCAGAACAAGTTTTCAGACACACTGTAAAACTCAGGCATTTCTAATTGAAGTGACAGATATCAAGTTATTGAAAGAAACATGTGACAGTACTTTAAACAGTGATGCCCATACACCTCATTCTGGCACTATTTCCAAACCATTTCTAGACTCAGATGCATTTTAGTCCCAGTCTCAACTGACTAGTTTTTTTTTTTAGTTAGTTCTTATTTTTCTACCTGAAAAGATTAAATGGATTATCATGTTTCTTTTCTGTCCCCGCATATTACTTCCTGGTGTGCTGTTCACACAGTCTCCATTTGTTTACATAACATAACAATTCCTCAAAGATGGCATAAATTATAAAAGAAGTGAGCAGACATGATGGGGCAAGGTCTGCTGTCAGGGTAGAAAAAGCAACCCCACTTTTCACAGGAGCCGTATGCTGGATTTACACCAGGACTACAAGAGATCCCCTTCTTTGCTCACTTCCAGCCCATCTGAGGGCTGAATCTTCCTTTGAATACACTGGTGGTAAAATCCTAGTCCCATCATAGCCATCTGTTATGAGGATGCTTGTGGGAAATGGGTCAAATCCTGCACATTGTTTCCTTTAAAGATTTTTCAATTCAGTTTTGTTTATTCCTACATCACTGGTATGTCACCTGTCACACACTGTGGTTTTGCTGTTTCACTGGGTACAGAACATCTCACGGGCATCACCTACACCTGGAAGTGGTCTAGCTAGGTCGTCACTATGGCATGCAACAGTAAATCCTACTTTCCTAGACAACCACTTCCAGGCACTGTGGAAAAGAAAAGAAGAAACAGTGGGGGAACAAAATGGAAAAAAAGAAAAACGTATCAGAACAGGCTGACAATGTTATTGCCACCCATTACTAATAATTATTAGCATTGTGTCCCCAGTTCCATATCCTTCACTGGCAGTTTAAGTCCCAGGGAGGAGGTTCCCAGTGGATCAATCATGTTCATGTAGCGTTCACCACGGTGCTTGGCCAAGAACGGACCCCAGTCAGGCTGTGGGGAGCACACCAGCTTGAGTCGCTGCCACATGGGGGAGAGAAAAGAGAGTCTCATTTGATGTTATTACAAGAATTACAATGCAGAAGAAATGAGGATAAGCTCATTTAAGATTATTGATGATGGCCCTGCAATGCTCAGCATTTGTTTTGCACAAAGTTTTCAAGATTAATAGAGGATAAAGTGCCCAGATTTTAATTATGCATTCTCCCCCACACCATATGAGGGGAGCTCAGAACCACTGCTACAGATTGCAGAGCTCTCTTACTGAAGGACATGTGCACAATTATTTAGCCCAGTGGTCTAAGCTCTGGGTAACTGCATTAAAATAATTGGATTTCTGTTTAGCATATTTCCCAAAAGTATACAGATGACCAAAAAGTAGTATATCACTATGAATGAACAAAGATTTTAATTTTGAGATGTTTCATTTCTATCTGCAGGAAAAAAGAAAGAGGAGAATGCTAACCTGGCAAACAACAAAAATTTTCTAATCTTTCTGCTGATTTCCTCATTGAATATATAATTTGATCGGTGCATTCAGAGATAAAAGGGAAAGAAAACATATTTCTGATGACTTAAGAGGGAACAATTATATGTTTATTACCTAATAAAGTGGATCAGACCTCTCTATCAGTTATTTTAATCTCTGCTTAATTACCAGTTTGCAACTCTTACCTCTCAAATCAACCATAATAATTTTATGCAACAGACTCAGTATTGAGGAAATACCAGGCTACAGCTGAAATAGCTTCAGCAAAAGCCCCTTCAAAACAGATCCAACTCTTGGGTGTTCCTTTGGGTGCACAACTGAAGAGACAGTAAGAAAAGCACCCTAGTTTTGTGGCAATATATACACCAGTGTGACACATTAGAAGTTTTGAAGGAGAACAATTTTCTCAGTGAGAGGAGTTCATGAGACAATGAACAAGTAAATCTAATTCCACATTAGCTCATTCCCAAAAGGAGTAGTTGTCTCCTGACCTGTGCACTCCAATGTGCTCTACACAAGGGCTGAATGGCCCTTTAGAGAAGTGACCTGCTACAAACCATGTGCCTGGATGCCTTCCCTGGGGTGTCCCACCACTATGAAAATTCCTATCTCATGAAATTCTTTTGCAGAGTCTTGGTCTTTTCCCTCAGGCATGTGTAGTGTGGCATATTGAGAGACCAAAAAGATGATGCTCTTTTAGTACATTTTCTCTCCTTTTCATTTTTGAAGCATAAAACAGCCCCGATGGGTTTTGCAGGAAAGCTGAACTGCAAAAGTGGCTACGGAAAGGGGAGAGAGCGTCTGTTCCTTCTCCCAGGGAGGGAACAGCGCAAGCAGCATGCAGTGACGAGAAGACAGAGCTGAGAAAGCCTCAAAGACCTCAAATAAGAGCATTGAGCTTCCTCAGAAGACATGGTGAGGGCAATAAAGGGATGAAATGCTGATATGAGAAACGTATTGCTGTACCACACCCTGTAAGGAACTGAGGAGCCTACAGGAAGGGGACAGGGTATGATGTGGGTGGCAGGCAGAGACAAGGTACAGAGATGGAGAGCAGAAGGTGATCACCACATTTCTGGAGCAGTGGGGGGAAGTGTCAGGAATCTGATTTGCAAAATAAACAGGTTAAGCAGGGTAAAAATAAAGTGCCAGCTGGAATTATTCTAAGCCCAGGTGTCAGGAAGGATCAGCTTATTCAAGAAAAATAAAGAGATGAAGAAAGGTAAAGCAAAGATTGCCAGCTAGGTTTTATAACGAGTAGTTTGAGATGTAGAGCAGGAGGTCTCTTCATATTTTATTCCTGCGAGTGGCGCAACCTTCTGAAGCACATCCGGATGACTCCAGAACCCAACCATCCCACACTTTGCAAACAGGCAGCTTCTGATTGACATCTCCTAGTGCTGATTGCCAGGGTCCCTGCAGCACAATACACACCAGCAGTTGGTGCTTCCTACGTCTGTACACTGCTTTTGCAAAAAGGCCAACAAAGCTAGAACAGCTTTCTCCCAGTAAAGCCATACCAGCATTCATGAAACCCCTCCTAGATTTTAAAAAAAAAAAAAAATCACTCCACAGTTTAGGAGCATTTTGTTGAGGAGTGAGGAATAGAAGGTCTACAACTTAAATCAACTGAGCTTCTCTTTGCAACACAATAACTAGTTTACCAGAAAGTAATCTTAGCACTATTAGACATTCAATATCACAAAAATCAATGTAAAATAAAAGAGACAGTCTCCTGCAACAGCATTTGTAAAGACCAAAAAGGCAGAAGAATTACCTCAATGAATTTGCCTGGGGCTAGATGCATTTTTATCACAAACATAACTGGGATCCAGATGACTGAGCAGGCCAGCATCAGCCACCCGAGCACCATGGACCAGCCGGGGTAGTGGTAAGCTCCATAAGTCATCGGCTCCCACTGGTAAAAGCTGAAGCAGAGGATGAACTGGAAACAAGAAAGGAAAACAAATATGTTTGAATAAGCAAAACAAGCCTGCTATGCAACAAATGGTAGGTATCCACACACAGAGTTGGAATATATGGAATACAGATAAAAGCACATACACCTAAGGCAGGGCGCTGCCACAAGCTATAATAAACAGCTCAGAGCCTGAATCTAATGAGTTCCAAGGAAATCCTGCAAAATCCCACAAAAATCACTGTATTCATGCCAGAAGAATTGAAATTAGAATCTTCTCCCTGGAGTAATGTGCTTTATTACATGGTCTATTGGCAGTTTTACCTAATGTGATTATGCTAAGTTACTCCATTTCACTTACTGTATGAACAGCAATACATCTGCTTACATTTGTGCATAATTCAGTAACTTTTGGGAAATGCCTGTGCTTGCAATAATTGCGCACAGAAGATTTATAGAAGTATAACTAGGTGAAGGCACATATAAAAATGATCGGTTTTTATTTCCAGAGATGTGGAGTCTAATGAAAGTCTAATATTAGGCTGTTCAAATGTATCAAATATTAGCTTTACAGAAGCAATAATAGAAAAGAATTTATTGCTTGGTTTTGCTTTGTCTGTTTCCATTGCATAAAAATTGAATTATGACTGATCAGTGTCAATTTATTTCTCACTGCAAGTTCATTATATATTGCATTTGGAGAGAACAACAACAGAACATGCAAGTTTGGAAAACAAACACAGTCAGTTCAGATTTGTTTTCGTTAAGAAACAACATAATTTCTAGTCGAAAGTGTCCCTACCCATGGCAAGGGTTTGAAACTAGGTGGTCTGTAAGGGCCCTCCCAACCCAAACCATTCTGTGATTATATGACTTGTAGGAATTATTCAACACTGCTGTGAAATGATGAGTTTTTAAAACTCTACACAAATACTGATGGCTTGCTGCATATGTGGTCCAGGCTTGAGGACTTCCAGGTGGAAGCACGTGCTCTCAAACAGCAAATGCTGGTAAAGGAAGGCTTTGTTGTTTTGTGCTGATTTATCAAACTGAAAGCTTTTAAAATGGCTGAAGTAATTATTTCATTCTTGTGCCCCCAAAAAAAAATAAATTATGTGCAGTCACAGATTGCACCTGCACTTGGGCTAAAACATAAAGGAAACACTCTGATGGAAATCTTAGATATAGTTATTAGGTTTGGACTACAAATCTAGGCAGTAACTGTAGATACAGTTATTAGACTTGGAGAAAACACGCAGAGTAATGGCAAAATTGAGAATGTGACGTCCTTTTTGACTGAACGGAGACCTATATACGAAGTGAGTGTTAAGCCAATTCGAAGGAAGGTGTTTGAAAGGAGGTGGGCATAAAAACCAAGGGAAAGGAAGAACAGCAACAAACCAAACACGCTCCGATCTATTCCAGGAGCTGCTTTCCCTGCCTCGGCCGCCGCCGCCGCTGTCCCGCAGCGCCACCTGCAGGCACCGCGGGGAAGCGCCGCGCTCGGCCCGGGCCGGGAGGGGCTTCTCCGGCTACTGGGGGCCACGTTCCTTCATTGCCTCGGCTCGGAAGCGTTTGTAAACAACCCTTTTTCCAACAGACCCTTTTTCCTTTGGCTTTTCTTCTCTTTTTTTTCCTCTTTTTTTCCCCCCACCTTTTTACATTTTTCCCCTCTTTTTATCTCCTCTTTCCCCCTTTTTCCTCATTCCCCCTCTTTTTATCTCCTCTTTCCCCCTTTTTCCTCATTCCCCCTCTTTTTATTTCCTCTTTCCCCCTTTTTCCTCATTCCCCTCTTTTTATTTCCTCTTTCTCCCTTTTTCCTCATTTTCCCCCTTTTTATTTCCTCTTTCCCCTTTGTTCCCTTTTCATTTCCCCCCTTTTTATTTCCTCCCTCCCCTTTGTTCCCTTTTCATTCCCCCCTTTTTATTTCCTCTTTCCACTTTGTTCCCTTTACATTTCCTGCCTTTTTATTTCCTCTTTTCCCCTTTGTTCCCTTTTTCTTCATTCCCCCCTTTTTTCTTCCTCTTTTCCCTTTTATCCTCTTTTTCTCATTTCCCCCTTTTTCTTCCACTTTTCCCCTCATTCCCCCTTTTCTTCCTTTATCCTCATTTCTCCCCCTTTTTTCTTCCTCTTTTCTCCTCTTTCCCCTCTTTTCCTTTTTTCATCATTCCCCCCACTCTTTTCTTCCTCTTTCCCCCATCTTTCTTTCTTTTTCTCCTCTTGTTCCCTTTTTCTCCTCTTTTCCCACCTTCTCTCTCCTTTTTTCACCTCTTTTCTCCCTTTTTCCCTCTTTTCTCCCTATTTCCATTTTTCCACCCTTTTTTTCCTTTCTTCATTTGTTTTCTTTTTTCCCCTAGAGAAACTAAAAGCTTTATATTTCTTATCCAGAACGCACCTATTTCCACCTTTGCAGCAGTACCTCCACCTTTGCAGCTAAACCTCTGTCACTCAAATTTCCATCTCAGCCTTTCCAAATCATCTCTCCTGGATTAGTTCATGACTCAATAAAATGGTCTTTCCTTCACCCAACCTGACAGCAGACAGGAGGATCATGACCTTTCCTTTCCCTATACATACACACACATATACATACACTGTGCAATAATGTGTCACAGGACCATTTTGCAGGGACAGGAAAGGCCACCACAGCAGCATGTGGAAACTCATCACCCCTCTCCACCAAAAATACCATTACTTACACTCTGTTCCTATTACATACACATGTAAGAACACAAGCACTTGTGTTTAATTAGCTGCATTCAAGTTCTAATTACTACCACTTAGAAACATCATGAATGATGAACAAACAACAACAAAACTCTTTGGAGAAGACATTAAATTATTTTTCTTTTTTTGCTTACTGTTAAAATAGTCGGGGTCACAAATGCCCAACAGACTCTCCAGAATTTACTTGGCTGGAATCCAATCATCATTTCTATATCTTCACAAAATCTTTGCAATCCTGTAAACAGCAAATGTAAAAGCAATTAGGTGTGAAAGAAACCAACTGCAATTTGCAACAGGGCTCTGGTGCCCTCCCTTGTGCCTAATTACGAAAACAAACTCCGATTTGTTGGTTGAAAACTTCTGTGGAGGATCCAACTACACAGTAAAAAATGGGACTAATGTGGTGGGAACCATTCCAATAAAATATTTACTTCTTGAGGATTAAAGCAAAATTGAGCTTTTACATGGAGGTCAGGTGTTTGGTTAAAGCGGTAATAGTATGTACAGGGTAGCTACAATTATTTGTATAATTATTTGTAGACTTGTTTTATTTCACTATGAAGACTAGTCTTATTAATATCTGTACACCTGCTTTACCACAGACAATATTTGAGCTTCTCTATACCTGCTACATGACTGGATTACAACTGCGTCCTTTCCCAGCAATGCCATGTGGGTGGAAAAAGTGTGCTGGCCAGGAGCTGATATTATTCCCTGTTAGTTATTAGTAATTCAGATATTAGTAATTTATAAAAAAATAATAAAAACAAATTTGAAATTGATTCCAGCCTTTCTAATTATAGTAAGAAGAGAGAGGCCTGGGGTCCAAGCCTAAGCTCACAAATGTTTAAAATTTGGGCCAATTTTATCTAAATTTTATAAAGCATTCTATCTAACTTTCATGATGTGGGGACAGCTTAAATATTGGAGAAAATGCACTGAGTAGGGTAAGAAATGCTTGAACAAAAGTAATATACTACTTCATGTTCTTATTAGACACTGCAGGGTATAAGAAGGGATAATCCTTAGGCTTGATGCATCTAATTTGGAAGCCTTTCTGTTGGTATCAAGGAGAAATAAATCTAACCTCCTGACTGTTCCAAGAATCAAGAAGGTAAAAAAATAGCAATGGTTCATTATTCAGTGTCTTCTGATGCAGCTTGAAGAAAGCAACAGGGGTGGGTGGTGTTTGGGCAGCCCTAAAGGCCCAACTCAGGCAGATAGCACGTGAGAGAAAAGCTCAAGAACCAGGTTATGATAACAAACAGAGAAGAAAAATCCAGAAATTAAACAGTGAGATGGTATTGCAAGAACTGAATTTAGGGAAGAGGAAAAAATTACAACCTGCAGCGGATGTAAGCTTAAAAAACTAAGCCAAGGTGAGCCAGATGTCACATTTTTTTCAGTGACTGTAGTTTCTCTCCCTCTCTTTCTCTTCTCTACTGACTACAGTAAATTTTCTTTTTCAGAAAGCCTCTTCTCTGTAAAATACATGTAATTTTTATTACCCATGGAATCACTACTTCAGCACCAGTCTGAATCGTGGTGTCCTTCTCTATTTTGTAATAGACCAAATATGACCTCCAAGGTCATTATGTGACAGACCTGAGAGGATATTTTTGCTGCAACTGAACGATTTGTCCCTGTGTTTTATTTACCTGCAGCGAGCTCTGAGGGAGATTCTCACACAGCAGCCAGTCATGTGCTGTGCTGGGGACAAAGTTCATTTTAAACTAATTGCAGCAGCACAAGATACAGGCTGATGGGTCTTTCCACCAAGTTTAAATCTTATTTAAAGTCTCTACTCCAGCCACACTTGCTGCTGCAAATAAGAGATACCTGAGAGTTACCCGGGGCTTCTGCCTCCAAAATTCATGCGAGTTTCATGTAAATCTGCACAGATTTGCTTCAAACTCCAATTAAAAAAATCAGTTCCTTCTTGGAATCATCAGCACATATTCACAGCTTAAGGCACTTTTAAATATTAGCAGTTCAGAAGTCAAATGCATGGAAGCAGATACAGGGATTACACAGTACTTATCTCTTTCCAGTGAAAGTTCCACAGAAAAATGAGAGGAATGCTTTGGTTAACAGAACACCGATTTATTACTCTTTTTTAAATCCTAGTAAATCTGGTCTCCTCTCAGATCAGCCAGGCCTGCTGAATAACTTTGGGAAATAAACAGTACATGATATTCCATACCTGATTTCTCCTTCCCTAAAGTAGAATGATGTATTCACAAGTGCTGCAGATATAAAAGCCATTTAAAAAGGAGCCTGCAAACCCAGTCAGACAACTACTTTGTTATTCTGCTACAGGTAAAATGTTCAAAATTACTAATGACTCTTACAAACACATTGCAGCAGTTACCACTCACTCTTACAACAAACCTTCTCACAAAAATAGACAGTCAAAAAACAGATCTAGAAGGAGCACAAAGTTTACAGTCATATATTTTCAGCTTTTGACAATGTTTTGCTCAAATATGAGGATTTTTGTCTTTAGCCTCACGTTACAAAATGCAACAGTGGGAATTATGCTGATGATTAAATTAATTCCCCCAGCTCTTAGCTGTTCTTTACCAACCATGCATCATAATCTAAATAACTGGAGAATAAACATTTCTACCAGCATGGGAAATAAAAAGCTGCATTTGGTTGGTTTGTGGAGCACTGACTCTATTGAAAAAATAAGTGATTACAAGGAAATAACCAAGTGTGTCCCTTTTTAATTTAAAAATCTCAACAAGCTCAGCAAGTAGAACATGTAACAAGAACTAAAGACAAATTTATTTCATCATAAAAGCGCCTGCCACTATTGTGCCAACCTGCTTGCCATGAAGAGTACAAGTACACAGAGAAAGGTGTCAGTGGAGTGTAAAACAGCAGTTGTCAGAGCTTGAAAATATATTATGTCAATTTTAAGCATTGCTTGAAGGAATATAACCAGAGCAGCAGCTTTGCTTGTATTTACAACACACAAATTGCAAATGTACAGGATGTACTCCTATGAACAGTCCTTACAAAAGTAGCTTTAACACAGTAGAAGTAGCTCTGGTACATTAGTCAAGCAGATAATTATTGTAAAGTAAATCTTTCCTTTGTCATCTAAAAGACTGGAACCTCCTTAGTCCAGCAAATGGTTAATTACAGGGAATAATCTTTGAAAGAGTTTATAGTAAAGGCTTTACCCAGATCTGTTGATGAACAACCAGTTGGCACAGAAAGTATGGAAGGAATAATTTGTAACTTGTCAGTTCTTTTCCACATCTGATTACAATGAAGTAACATCTAACTAAAAAAACCTTTTTCCTCTATTCAAGTCCTTCCTTTGCAATGCTGTAACTGTTTGAATATTGGTTTATATTTTTAATTAAAGTTAGTGTTTTAAGGGACACCGAATTTGCTGTGCAAAGCAGACACAAGCCAGAGCAATTTTTTGCTTCCAAGCCTGATAAAATGTCATTCCACAAAGGCAGGTTTGCAGTGCTTCTGCCACACAGTGTTCAGAGGAGGAACAGAATCAGTACCTGCTCCCTATTACCTTCATCCTTGTTTAAAAACATACACAACAAAGAAACTTTACAGAATTAAGTAGTTTTTAAAATATTAAAAATATTTCAAGCATTACAGCATCGTTCAGGTATGCTCTCAACAAACTGAGGAGCAGAAGAAAGGCAAAAAGAAAACCCAACAAACCCTTATATTCTTCTTGAGCATACTCACTTATCTCTTAAGGAATTGTATTGATTTTAGAGAAGCTGGGTTTCGTTTCACGTCTAAGCCAACTCTAATCAAATTACTTATATTCCAGGGGCATAAAAAAACCCTGCAAGAATTTTGATTAACCAGAAGACAACTGGTCAAAATCAACTCTTCTCCTTGTATTTTGAGTTTTTCCATCATATTCTGTAACAATAGTCGTCTGACTTAGCTTCCAACCACTCAGGCTTGCTCACTGGATTAGGTGTCAGTGGAGATAAAATACACTGCTTTATTTCCATGAAATTAGAGAAAACAAGAAAGGGCTGATTCCCTGTCCTGTCTAGAATGTTTATGTCTCAAGCAAGAGCAATAAATTCTGCATTTGTTGAATTTTGTACTATTTTTTTAAAGCACTTAAGTTACAGAGTGGACTCCGCAAAACAGGTAGATGTAAGTATTCAGTGCACGGAACCAGAACCTAAGGTCATGCTGCTATATATGCACCTTCAACAGAACATCTGGGATTTTTATGCCCAGCTGATATAAACTGCATAATTCATTCTTGCACACAGCAACAGCAGAAACAGCCTTATCTTTGTCACTTTTCACACTGAGATTCATATCCCCTTTTGCTTTTGAAGGCAAGTCTGAACTGGCAACACTACACTCCAGACACAAGTTAATCATCTGGTATGTAGGGAGATCTTCACATTTCCAAGACTCAGCCTCCTGAAAACACATCCTGAAAGCTTGGAAGCACATCACCAGCTGGTATCAACTGTTGTAGCTACAGCAGCATCATGGTAATTGCACTGCTTTATACCAACTGAGGATCTTCCTCACAATTCATGTGCATCAGCATGGATCAATATAGCTGCTATTACCACCAGGGATAATTAGTCACTCTGAGAAGCTGCATAGTCTTGAGTCTGTGTTATGGACAGATAGTGTCACTAACTGCTTAGTCTCTTCTTAGACTCATCTCTAAGCATCAGCTTTAAGCTATTGATGGAAAAGGACTTGAGACTTTTGAGTCTTCTGAATACATTTATTTGAAGGTATCCTATGGTAATGAGGTCCTATCATTCTTTGTCCAAAATAAGAGAACTTTGAGGCTTTTTATTAAAAAAAAAATACTCCTTTCCCTAAGAACTTCACTTTATCATATGCTAAAATGTTACTTCGACATAGGCTGTCCAGTAACAGTATTTTTTCTTACCGTAGATATAGGAAACTCCAACGAGCTCAAAGATGGCAATAATGACAAGAGAGTAAGAAGCTGCATAAGTGTCCACAAGCTGTAACATATACATTCCACCCTAAGGAAAAAGAGATAAAAGAGCCATCACTTGTGGCATTGAGGTAGGCAGAGCGGAGAGGAACAGGAGCCAAATCAGCATCCAAACATCGACCTGACTCAGGCTTGTGCTGCACTACACTTCCTTCCTTCTGGCTGAATGAATATCAAATCCAACAAGAAAAAAAGCAGATGGTACCCCTGATTCTGGTAGCCAACACAGCTTGGGAAGACTTCGGCTTCAGTCCTTTAAGACTGAACCGCCATCAGACCTTCCACTTGTAGTGTCTCTAACCCATAATACTACATGAAAAGCAAAATCACCTTTGAAACCAGAACTACCCTAATAACAAGTCCAGTTCATCTATTTGGAAAGGATATGTTGTCCTATCTCCAGGGCAGAGGTTAAGCAGCATAATTCAAGTGAAGGAACGACTGAATCCATCCCAGGTTTTAGAACAGTGAAGCTGGGCTGGTAGGGGATAAGGTAAGGGGAGAGAGAAAGGGAAAAAAGAAGACGGAAAAATAGTAAAATTTTGTGCATCTTGTCTTGAAATTGATGAGTTTATAATGTTGGACGTATTAGTGAAGAGAGGACACTGAAGATTATCAATGGTAGATGGGAATTCCATTGTCAATTGCTCAGTTTGCCAAGACTGTCAGCATATGTCTAATCGTGGAGGAAAGGCACCCCAAACAGGTTACATGTTTATATGACATACAAAGTTGCAGTTTTTTCCTTAATTCATAGAATAGGTTGGGTTGGAAGGGACTTTAAAATGATCTTGTTCCAACCTCCCTGCCATGGGCAGGGACACCTTTCACTATCCCAGGTTGCTCAAAGCCCCGACCAACCTGATCTTGGACACTTCCAGAGATGGGGCAGCCACAGCTTCTCTGGGCAACCTGTGCCGGGGCCTCACCACCCTCACAGGAAATGATTTCTTCCTAATACCTAAACTAAACCTGTCTTCTGTCAGTGTAGATTGAATACCTAGTTTACATTACTGCTTTGAAGATGTTTGACTAGGGAAAATTTTAAAAATCTGATTCCCAGAAAGATTTGAACAGCAGAGTCTTATAAGTGTATCTCAGTCAGAGTAACCATTAAAAAAAAGGCTTTCAGACTCACCCTGTGTCCTATGTGGCAGAACTCAGCTAAATCTTTTGCAACTTGTGAAGGAGGAAAACGGCCACCAGAGGGGGATTGGGGACAGACGGTGATGCTCAAAGGCAGTGTTATTACCTGAGTGATCATAGGAAATCCCATGATGAAAAAGGACACGCAGCACCCAAGAGTGAACAGTGCCTTGTGTGTACGTAAGTACTTGGGGAACTCATCTGAAACAGAGGTCACAATAGTCTCGATAGTGGCAAACTGGAAGACAAAATGAAAGGATTCATTTCAGTGCACACAGTGTACACAAAGCGGTCCAGCTAGATGTAAAAGAAAATAAGAGAGCATTTTGAATCCTAGGGAACATTTTGAATCCTAAGTGTTAAATGCTCAGATGTCAACACCAAAGCTCTGCCCAAATGATTTTAGCATTGATGGCATTACTTCATTCCTCTCTTTGGAAACTGGTTCACTGCCCACATAGAAAATAGCAATTAACCTCATGGTCCCCCAGATAAACAAATAGGAAAAGAGCGGGACACAAAAGCAGTTTACCATGGTGTCTAATCCAAGAGTTAGAAGCATCAAAAAGAATATTATGGCCCAGAAGGGAGAGAGAGGAAGCCTCGTTAAGGCTTCTGGGTAAACCACAAAAGCAATTCCAGGACCTAGAAACAAGAAAAATAAAGGTTATCAGGTTCAGTCTCTCTTATTTAGAGAAAGATTTAAGCATCACAGAATTTAGCCTCACCTGGTTAATCTCTATTTTCACTGTAAGATTCAAATCACTTATTTGCTCCTACTTTCCAAGCAGAATACATATGGAATGAATATACCAATATACTGGACCAAACAAATTAAAAAAATAAGCAACAGTTGCATTGTGCAGCTATGTTTCTGTTCTGCTCTGTGATCAAATTCCTGCCAACTACCAATCCAGCCCTAGGTCAACATGGCAAACACCCACAGCCTCAGTGCTGCCTCAAGGATGAATGGAAAAGCAAAAATCCTTCTTCTTTAACTCATCAGCACACAGTCAAATGAGAAGCAGAGAACAAAAAAGACGCCCAGACGTGATACCAGACACAAGGTAATAACTACTGTGAATCTAAAAAAATCCACAAGAAAACCTGAAATAACACAGAACACAAAAAAAATAAGGAGCTGGGGGTTTTTAAAGCGTTAACCAGGAGTTTCCCATTCTTTTTTGGTTTGATATATTGGGCTTTAATTTCTGTCAAGTGTAAAGGAAAAGCATTTTTACAAGTGTGTTCAGAGTTGACTGGGAGCAAAGGCTGCAGGAATGCAGTGTCAACATTACAGTAGATGGCACTTCTCTACTCATCTCAGCTAAAGGAATTCCCACTCCCAACACTCGGAAAGGTGTTTCCTGCCAGGCAAGATACAAATGAGAGCCAAGTTGTACTGATGCCTCATGGTAAAAGAATGGGCTCCCCACTAACTCTGCCTTGGCTGTTTCTGATCTAATCATTGCACCCCAGTTCCTCCAGCCCCACAGCTGCTTCTGTTCAAGAGACAACTGCTATTTGCTCACGTACTGAGGAAAACACAGTTTTAGCAGCACGTCACATCATCTCCTCAGGCAACATGTGGAGTGTTTGGGGTTCCTTCTGAACAAAAGGCAAATACAAGACTTAGCAACACAGTACAAAAAAAGACAAACCCAACACTGTATGTGACTCAATGTTGCTGCCTTTAAAATGTGCTGCAGAAAAAATGACTTTTTGAAATAAGAAGGGGCAGGTAGAACTACTATATATTTACAAGCACTTCTTTCACCTCTTGATTAAATATTTCTTCTTGATTATTAGAGACAGGGGCTCTCTTTACAGCAGATTCCTGCATGTGAAAATTTAATAAAGTCTCAGAATAATGAGTTCCCATTAATCCCACTTTCAGAAAAAGTTAAATTAGAGAATATTAAACTGCACATCTTTCCATGTCGACCCCTCATAACTCTCCAAAATAACATGGATCAACCACAGGTCAACAGTCACAGAGAGGCTGTCTCACATCCTTTCCATCTTTGGAGACTTAGGTGGGTATGAACTCTTTCTAAAAGTCTAATAAAAACAGGAAAACTCCAAATATTTTATATGTGTTAAAATTTAAAAAGTCCAATGACCTTGAACTTTCATTTTAAATTACTAACATTTTTCAACTGCGCTATATTCTTAATCAGACAGTAGGATAAAAAGAGATTGTTCTGTCTCTCCCTCTATGGTAAGTGTTTTATTTGTTCATCAGATAGATTAGCTTTTCCTGAAAAGAGGATTCTAAATGAAAAAACATACTATGTTTTTCAGATTAACATTTTAGGAGAAAAAAAAAAAGGAAAAAAACCCTTCCTATTTCCATTAACATTTTCATTCAAGGTTTTGAAAACTTGAAGGGAGATTATGTTTCATCATCATTTTGGCTTTTTTCTCTTTCACTGCAAAAGAAAAATATAACTTTAGAATATAAAAAAAGATAGGCAAGGACAAGAGCTGGTTCCTTTCTCCACTTCTTGAGTCTGCTTCTTAATTATGGTAATTCAGTGCACTACCTCAGTCCACAATTATCCCTGATCTTTGCACTCTTCCTACTACAAAGTCATCTATTAGTTCACTGAATTTGTTTTTCCACTGTCATGGAGAGCAGCAAGGCCTCACCCCTGTGAAATAATTTTAAATGGCCTAAGCAGGCTCTTACAAACACACAGCCCTACAATAAGCTTGTCTTGTGACAGCTATATCCACATCCCCTGGAACAGCTGCTGAGACAGCTGGGAACAGAGAGCTCCAGCCTGGGACTCAAAGACCACCAGCCAGAAAAGGGGTTTTGATCTCCTGTGCTAAATTTTACACCATCTCCAGGGAGATGCATGAATCAGCTGAACCAAGTGTTTCCTCCACCACCAGTCCTGTCTCTCCATCCCACCTCTGTCCATCTCTTTGGAGCTTCCACTGCAGCTCCACTCAGGCATGGCTTCTTTAATTCCTCACAAATAATTTTGGTGAGTGCAGTGGGGTTTAGCTTTTGGGGTTCGTTTTATTTGTTTGTTTGTTCGTTCCAGAATGGAGGTAAAATCTAAAATAAAAATACTGATGTAAATATTACTCCTAAAAACACCTGGCCTCACATGGGGTTTTTCAAAAATAATGGTCTAATCTGTCCAGAAAATTGGGAAAAAAATTAAACTTTTCTGTTGCCACCTAGCGACTGGCAAACCAAAAAGAAGAGATGAGGCACTGAATACTGAATTGACATTACACTAGCCTGCAAGTTCAGTATCCCTTACTACTTACTGTCAAGAAACAGTTTATCAGCTGACCATTATTCATTTCATACTATGAAATTCTCCTCTCAGACCCTATATCCCTCTAGATCATCCCTCTAAAATGATTGTCAAAATTTGATAGGATTATAACTTCTCTGGATCTTAGCCCAAAAACTCTTCCTTTCCTATTTGCTGCTTCTTATAGCAAAGTAGGGTCAAGAGAGTAAGTGCTGTGAGGAGTGACTGAGGGAGCTGGGATTGTTGATCCTGGGAAAGAAGAGACTCAGGGGAGACCTGATTGCTCTCTACAACTCCCTGAAAGGAGATTGTAGCCAGGTGGGGATTGGCCTTTTCTCCTGGGCAACCAGTGACAGGATGAGATAACACAGTCTCAAGCTGTGCCAGGGGAGGCTCAGGCTGGACATCAGGAAGAATTTTTTCACTGAAGGGGTTGTTAAACATTGGGAGGGGCTGCCCAGGGAGGTGGTGAAGTCACCATCCCTGGAAGTGTTCAAGAAACAACTGGCACTTAGGGCTATGGTTTAGTTCGCATAGTGGTCTTCAGCTCTGCTAATAAGGGCCTTTCAGATCCCTGCTTATAACCATCTCACTTCACTAATGAAGATCTTCTAATCAGTTCTTCAGAAATGTTTTACTTCCCCATGGAGGCATCTCCTTTCTTCCCACAGTTCAGAAGCTCAATCCACCTTTCACACCGTATTTCTCCCACCTTCTACACTAGAAAGGCCACCCCCCTCCCATCTAAAATTCCACCACCAGAAACAACTTTTTCCTTGAAGAGGATTTGACAAACAACAGCAGAGACAGATGAAAAGGCCTGAAAGATGAAAATAATCCCTCAGACTATGAGAAGGGACCACACTACCCTCCATCAGTCATTTACACAAAGATTTAAAATGAGTCTCAGCTTCCTTCCTTCTCTTATCAAACAAGTGATAAAGAGGTTTCAAGGAAGATCTTGACTTACCAGTGTACCTTCTCCTGTACAGAAACACCTACATGTGGTTTACTAATCCACACCAGTTTGAAGCCGTAATTCCCTCCTCCAGTATCAATGTCATCATTAATAACAGAGCTGAAGGTGCTACCAGGTGCCTGCCTAAATAACAAAATGCCAGTGTACCCTACCTTGGTCTGCCACAGCTTCAATATTCACTTTGAGTTCATTTGCCATGAAGCCAATAACTGAGAAGATGACAAAGCCTGCAAATATACTTGTGGCACTGTTGGTACATGTGACTATCAATGTGTCCCTGAAAAGAAAAAAAACAAGAAGCTATGACACCTTGTTGGGATACACACAAGGAGGGGTTTGTACATATTTCAGGAGTCTCTCATGAGCACACACATCTGTGGGAATGCTGGTGAAGGTACACTTTTATACTTATCAGGTGCATTTGATGCTGATCAGAGAGCACGAGAGTCTTCATATCAGCTGTGCAAGTTCCCATCACCCACGTGCCGTGTAGGAACCAGAAGCTGTGCAGGAGGACAAGCATTTCTGCTCTTGGCCTCTCCAAAGATGATGGCGTGATTGGTAACACACTTTTAACTCTTTGCCTCATAAGCATATCTGCTCACTATATTATGTATGGACTAAGTACCACCATCCAGGTAAGACGGGTTTTGTCCTGTATCCTTCTTGTATTTATACATAAAATTCCAGGGTTTAGCTTTCTGTACCTTGCAGAACTCACCCAAACACCTTCCCATCTTCAGAGGATTCCTTGGTACATTTTCCCACTGTTGATATTGTTAAGTGAATCTCAAGCAATCTATACCTGAATGTCTTACTATGCTGGAAATGTCAAGACATGATTTGAGAGGAAACCAGCCCTCATGAACCCCATCCATAGTTATTACATTCCTGATAGGATTTTTTTTTAACAATATGCGTGTCCAGAGGACTTCCCCATAAACTACTACAACTTAGGCAAAAATAGGTCACTCACTTCCAATGTTTGGGATTTTTATACTGGCCAGAAATATTGCTAAATTAATACAGAAATTAAGCATGATGTTTCTCCCTTTTTTTTTTCCCTGATATTCTAATTGTATTCATTCCTCAACCAAAAATCAAAGGCCAGAAATATAATTTTCAAAAATAGGAACCAAAGGATTTCTGTGTGGGAGTTACTGAGTATACAGCACCGTTACTTTTCATCAATATTTTGGGATAATTATATTAAATTACTTTTTGAGCACTAGTAAAAAGGTTTTTAAATTCCTTTTTGCAAAGAAAGGTGGATCAAGATTTTAAAGTTAAGTATTTTCTATTCTGTACTTAGAAGTCATAGGATAAGGCAGTCAAAATCCCAAGGAGTGTATGCTTTACAGTCTTGAGTTGGAAAGTTATTTCCCCTTGAGTTGGGAAAGTTATTAAGCCTTCTCTTGGGACAGTTCCTGTGATGCTGCTGCATGTCCTGAATCAGCACCTCCATCACTGCAGGAATTGGTAAAGGTTTACTTCAGATTAGCTTTAAAGAGAGTAAAATAACAGGGAAGCACTCTCCTAGTGCCAATTCTTTTTGTTTCTTCCATCTGCAGACATTTATCTGGCAGGCTTTTGGATGAAAAACTATACAATGCTACCAGAACACATTGACTTTTCTCCTTGTAAAAAAAACAACTTTCAGTGAGTTCAAATAAAAGTGATTTTAAATTTCACAACACTAAATAACTTTGTGCATGTAAAACCACACTAAGAACAATTGGAAAAAAAACATTTAGGAGATAGAAGAATCACATCTTTGGAGGGTGCAAGTTAAACTCCTGCATGTCTGACAACGGCAAAGCTCAGCCCATTCTACACATGGGCTGTTCTTCAGCAGAGGCTGCCAACTGACTCTGTTTCGTGCCACTGCTCACAGCTGTTGACAGCTTCCCAGACTGCCTTTCAACCTCATCCTGCTGATTCTGAAAATGAAGAGCCAAGAGGAGCTCTAATAAGCCTAAGGCTCCTCTTGAGACCAGTAGATTAGGGCCTGGGGAGAGGCGACAACACGAAAAGTCAAAAGGATTAAATGTAAAAGAACACCACACACAGAGAGGAGAGAGGAAAAGGGGAAGGGGGAAAGGGAAAAGGGGTAGGCCAAAAGGAGCAGGGGAAAAGGGGAAGGACAAAAAGGGGAAAGGGAAAAGGGGAAAAAGGGAAGGGGAAAGAGAAAGGGAAGGGAAAGAAGAGAAAGAGAGAGAAAGAGAGAGAGAGAAAGAGTGAGAGAGAAAGAGAGAGACAGAGAAAGAGAGAGAAAGAGAGAGAAAGAGAGAGAAGAGAAAGAGAAAGAGAAAGAGAAAGAAAGAGAAAGAGAAAGAGAAAGAGAAAGAGAAAGAGAAAGAGAAAGAGAAAGAGAAAGAGAAAGAGAAAGAGAAAGAGAAAGAAAGAGAAAGGAGAGGAAAAGAGGGGGGAAAAAAGACACAAGAGAAAAAAAGACATGAGAGGAGGATCTTACAAACCAGATTTCTGCAAGTTGGAAGACATCTTGTTTTGGACAAATCTATTTAATAAACCCGATGTTTTTCACTCTTACATACCTGTAGCAATTGTTATGGAATTTGTTGTAAGAAGAGAGAGTAATTAGACCTCCCCATGCTGCAGATAAGGAGAAGAAAATCTGAGTGGCAGCATCCTTCCAAACCTAAGTAAGACAAACAGGAGAGGAAATAGCATCAGCTTCAGGAAAGAATGTTAGAGTGTTAGAAAGTACAATAATACTATTACATGTTATTGTGAGGGGATTGACATTTAAGTACTTTAAATGAACTTTAAACTAAATGGATGTCAATAGAATATTTAAAAGTAAAACCCTGCCATGAAATACATCATGCCCATTTGATAAGGAGTACTATTCTCATTGAGCCCATATAAAAGGACCATAGTAACTTTGCTGTGTATGGAAGACACAAATATCCAAACTACATTGTTTTATACACATCAGTTCAAATACATTCAGAAAAAAAAATACAAATCAAGAGGAAAAATCTGCACCAGATACTGATGTTTTATCTGCCAGTGACCCTAAATAATACTTTATCCACATAAGATGAAGAACAAGTTTCCACAGATGACAATACTACCCCTGTACACATAAAATGCTTGCAGCAGACACCAAGAGATCTTCATGACTTATTCACCCCAGTAGTTAGAAGTGCAATAGTAAACCCACCATAGCATCAATTAGCTTCTCCCACTTTGGTGTGATGAAGTACCAGATTCCATCTCCAGCTCCAGGGAGAGTTACTCCTCTTATAAGAAGGATAATGAGAACTACATAGGGGAATGTAGCTGTAAAATACACCACCTGGACAGACCAAAGGAAAGGTTGGTAAAAGGGCTTATTTGGATAAGAAGAGAGGAGGTGAAAACACAAGTGCTACAGAATTGCCTGAAGAAAGCAATTACTCAGACTCAGAGACAACAGTCAAGGGACAAACTAGGAAAACAACAGGGTTATTTCCCAGTAAATCTGAAATTTTATGGCTCTTCTTGCTGCTAGAAACAGGAATAACACCAACAGCAATAAAGGTAAGAGTTGGGATTCTAGACAGAGAGAGGAAGAGGGTTCCTCTCTCTGTCTGGAGAGGAACAATAGGAATTTAGAGCTAAAAGAAAATATTACTTTTGATCCTTGCCCAGAGCAAACTATCACAGTTCAATGGAAATTAAATGAGCAGTGCCATTCAATAACACTTAAATTTTTGTGGGTTTTTTCCCTATATATTTCCATACATTTTTCTGTATTTAACTAAAAAAAAAAGCCTAATTAAGTTTTATTACTGTTTGTACTTCTTAATAATTGCATATCACCACGGTGATATTTATGGTTCAAATGCAAAAAAAGAAAGTCAGTGAAATGATCCAGATAGAACTAATCACTGTGATATCTAAATACACAACAGTGGTTGTGTGTCTAATGTCTTAATAATTATCTAGTACAGAGCTCTCTGTGGTCAGATAAAATGACTAGATTATGGTCAGTTAAGCTCTACACTTGACACAAAAGCATTTCAAATATTTTTCACATTAACCTCTGAGTTTAAACAAGCCAGAATCATAACATATTTTGGAATCATATCATAGAATGGTTTGGGTTAGAAGGGACCTTAAAGCCCATTTCATTCCAACTTCCTCCCATAGGCAGGGACAACTTCCACTGGGCCAGGTTGCTCAGAGCCCCATCCAGCCTGGCCTTGAACACTTCCAGGGATGGAGCAGCCACAGCTTCACTGGGCAACCTGTTCCAGGGCCTCACTACTCTCACAGGGAAGAATGTCTTCCTAATAACTAATCTAAACCCCCCCTCTTTCAGTTTGAAGCCCTTATCTTTGTCCTGTCACTCCATGTCCTTCTCCAAAGTCCCTCTCCAGCTCTCTTGGAGCCCCTTTAGGAAGGTGCCCTAAGGTCTCTTTCAGAGCCTTCTCCAGGCTGAACAACTCCAACTCTCACAGCCCATCTTCATGGAGAGATGCTCCAGCCTTCTGAGCATCTTTGTGGCCTCCTCTGGACTCACTCCAAGAGGTCCATGTCCTTTTTATGTTGTGGGCTCCAGAGCTGGACACACCACTCCAGATGTATTCTCATCAGAGCTGAGAGGGAGAATTACCTCCTTCAACCTGTGGTCTGAGCTGAAGCAACTTTTGAAACTGCTTTCCTAACCTCTTTGCTGTTTCAAGAGGTGTTTCAACAAGTTGCCCTGATGAATTTTTGTGCAGTCTAATCTCTGTATAAATACAGGATTTCTATCTCTGGCACCAAGAACTCAATTTTTTTCCTCTCTGACATCGAAGAGTCAATATTTTTCTTGGCCACTAAGATACACTTGAAGAAATATTTGTTGCCATACCCAAACCAAAGTTATTATCCAGACTCTTACCTTCACGAAACATTTTTCCACAGTAAGGTGAGGGAAAAAATATCTCAGTTTTCCCATGGCACTCTGAATCTCTGGATTTTTAATTAACAAATTACCTCGCATGAGATGATGTCAGCTTCCAGAAGCAAAGGGATGGCTTGGAATCAGAAACTCTGGGGTCAGCTCTAGAAAGTTCATGTCTGCACTTCCACTATCTTTATCCCATTAAGTATCTAGTTATTTTGCTCCAGCTTTTTTGAAGTTCAGTTCTGATTTTAAAATATGTTACTTAACATCTACATTTACATCAACATTTCCTGGGTTCCAGTGGAATTTGAGATGACTGCAGAATTTTGATAAACACCACACAGAATAGGGAAGGCTGGAAGGTAACCTTTTTGCCATCCCACTGCTGAGTGCAGCTCAAGAGCTCCTTTTAAACTGATTAAAGATTAAGGAATAAATGCTGAACAAAAATTGTCTTTGTTTATGTTTTGACTGAAAACATAGACAGGAAAAAAGCATTTCAATTAATACTTAGTCATTTACTGAAAATATTTTCTGTAATTCAGTGCCTTAAATGAATGTGATTTCCTTAAAACGTCACTCTGCTTTCTTGAAGTGTACAATCTCAAATATTGTTCTTACTTTTCCTGATGACTTGATTCCTTTAGCAAGGGAGGCATATACAATCACCCAAGCTAGGAAAAGAGATAGTGCCAAGGGCCATCTGATCTCACCAGGATATTCAATCCCTGCTGAAATCTTCAATACAAAGTACCTAAGAATAAAAGAATTTAAAAAAAAATAAATTGAGGGAAAAAAGAATAGAAAAAAGTAATGACAGCATTATAAAGCAATCAGAGGCAGCAATTGAGTGCAAATTCCTGGAGTATTTTGTTTTGCTTCAGCATCCTCAGCAGTTTCCCTAGAAGGTTCCAGCGATTCTCACCATGTATTATTTTATTTATCTGCATTGCAGTAGTAGATAAAACTGCCGGGCATGGGCCAACACCCCAGCTGAGCACCATAGGAACAGAACACAAGTAATCCAGCATTTGAACTGCCTTTCATCATTCCTAAGCATAAAAAAATAACATTATTTGCTGTCCATAGCTATTATATTTCTAGTTTTCCAAGCAGTGATTTGTTGCCTGTTTCAGTGGATTTTAAAGAGAGATTAACATAACGGTCACTAAACAAAGAAAGATCTTACTTGAAATATTCTTCACTTCCACTGACAAATGTTTTGTTTCCTTCCCTGGTGAAGTTAACCATGGTTAAGTTTGGATAGGCACTCATGCAGAAAGTAGAGTTCTTGATTTGTATTTTTGGATGGTCACCAATAATGCAGGAATCTAGGAAGAAAAAAAGAAAATAAAAGCAAACAAACAAAAAAAAAACCCCACAAACAATCAAACAAAAAAGGTGTACAGTTGGGGTTTTCTCTTTGTTTGGTTGGGATTTTTTTCTTGTAAAATTACAAGAAAGCAGTAGATCACACATAATTACTTGAACTTTTGTTCAAGTGCCAATACCTTTTCTGGAAGGTTGTTTACTAGGTTTACTTTTCCCCTTTTCATGTCACAGTGAGTTTTTGGCCGTTTGCAAAAACGGTTTTCGTTTGTTTGGGGTTTTTTTCGTTATTAAGAGAAGCTTCTCTAAAGGCGAATAATTTGTCTTTAGCGGACACCCTAGGCTGCCAGCTGTGGTATTTTGTTCTGTGCTTTCTCCCCTACAGAGTTTTTCCCCGGGGACTGGGGGGGGAAGCTGGGCTTTTATTATCATTTTAGGTGACAAATCTCATTCGTCCTTAATAAGGAAAAATTTAAATTGAAGGAGAGGGAAGCACCCATGTGATACAAATCGTTTCAAAGTGGTTTTAAAATGGACCGTTCCTCCCTGCTGGGAACCTCGCTCGGCCACGATCACCCGCAATCTTCTCTGGCATCTCCCAGGGGCGCAGCTGAGCTGAAGAAAACTCTGGAAAACCACCACGGCCATAATTTTGGGAAAAAAAAAAAAAAAAAAAAAAAAAGAATGTCCCAACTCACCTAGCAAAAGTTTGTTTTTATCTTTACAGTCTGGCGTGTTCCACGGGTTGTTACAGGAGGCCCAGGGTAGCACAGGTACAAAGGACGCAAAAAGGTAGAAAAGTGTGTAGCACAGGATAATATTGTAATATATGGCTATTAGAACCGAGATGATCAGCATGGCGATACCGCAGCCTGGGAACAGAGAGGGGAGACAGGAGAACATCCCTATTAATCCCGGGGAAGGGGGGCAGCGGCCGCAGCCGGGGGAGCGGCGGGGCCCGGTGGCTGCAAAGCATCGGCTTCCTCTGGCACAGGTACGGGGGTCTCCCCGCTTTGAGGGGCTTCCCCCGCAACTGGCACAGGTACGGGGGGTCCCCCTGCTTTGAGGGGCTTCCCCCACAAGGACCGCGCAAGGACATGCGGCTGAAGCCATGCGAGAGAGGGAGTGCAGGTCATGCTCCCCAAAACCGGGCCGGCTCCTGCTCCGCTCACCTTGCAAGGCCGGGATGGCTTTCCAGACCGACACGGGGCCCTGACTAGCAAACTGCCCCAGAGAGACTTCCAGGAAGAAAATGGGGATCCCAGCTAGAGCCAACATCATCAAATAGGGGATGAGAAACGCACCTTGGGGGGCAGGAGGGGAGAGAAGAGAGAGTAACCTGAATCACCCCGTGATATTGGGGACAATTCAGTCAAGACATGCAGCTATTAATTTTTTTTCTATTTGTTATCGCTTCCCACTGCCGCCGGCCTCGACGGGGCGGGAATGGGGTGGGGGAAGGTGGGCGACAGCTTTCTACATTTCCAGCATTTGCTCGAGACAATATTATTGTTAAGGGAGTACTTTAACGCCTCCCACTTAGAAGTTCTTATATGTAAAAAAAAAAAAATACTGACAATTAAAAAAGAATTAGTTTAAAATCGCTTCTTCCCTCACAGAAAACAGGCTCTACAGAATCGTTTTCGATGATCACAGCGCCAATACCCCCTGTTGATAGACGTTTCCTAGAGGGAAGGGTTTTACAATTGCAGGGACTTGAATCCAGTAACGCTCACCGGTTCTCCGTTTAAATAAGAGCCTCTGGTAGGAGAACCCCTGCAAATAAGCTTTTTCTTCTCCTTGAAAACTATCAACGGCACAAACCCTCTCAACTTCTCCTCTATTCTGCTGAGCAGCATTCGCTCTATGTCAAACGATTATTTTTCAACCGGATCATTGAGAGATTTAAAATAATTCCCCCAAACTTCAAGAAATAACAAAATGTCTCGACTTGGGATCAGACTTCCTCTTGTGACTATCCTGATTCTAAAGTCCTGTGTACAGATCTTTCCTCCCTCCTCTTCCCCCATCCCACCGATTGCGGATTCAAACCCGATTGTGCATAAATGAGGCGAGGGGTAGTCCCGGAGCCCTCCCTCTGTGATCAACCCGCCTCTTCGTTTTCCTCCCTCTCCGGCCAGCACCAATTACAGGTGTTTTTAAGGAAAGCACTGCCTTTTAATGAAATCTCGTCGGAGCTTTCCTACTTCCAGAGGTGACCATGACAAAAAAAACCCAAAACCAAAAAAAAAGAAACAAAAAACAAAAACAAAACCAAAACAAAACAAAACAACCCAACCAAAACAAACCAACCAACCAACTAACCAACCAAAAAAAAACTGGCAGATGTTTCACCACGTCACTGATGGTCTGAAAGTACCCTCGCACCTCGGCTAAGGCCGGGGCTGGCTGCCCGGCAATAGGGAGCCGCCAGCCCCCTCTTCCCTCTTTTTTCTCCCCACCAGAAAGGCAGAGACTGGCTCAGACCCGTACGGTACTGCAAATAGAGAGACAGGAAAAAGCCATCATACCTCCCCCATTCTTAAAGGCCAGGTACGGGAACCTCCAGACATTGCCCAGCCCCACTGCATAACCCACCATGGAGAGGATGAAATCCAGCTTGCTGGACCAGTTCCCTCGGGCTTTATTTTCATCCCCTACATCGTCTTCCTAAAAGGGGAGAAAAGGGAGGAAAAATGGAGGGGGAGAACAAAAACGAAAAAAAAAAAAAAAGAGAGAGAGAGAGAGATGGGAAAGCAGCTACTTTTGCAGACAAGTCCCGCGGTGCTGCGACTACACCCTGCGAACAGCGACCGGGCCGGAGGGACCTTCCCGGGAGGCCCCCCCTGCAGCCCCCGCCACTGCTGCCAGGCCTCTCTTCTGTCCAGAAAAAAACCCACACGAAAGGTGAGTTTAAACCATAGCCCTCCACTGAGGGCTCGGGTGAAGGGGGAGTGAGGATCACCTGGGAGGTCTCATCTCCTCCTCTGGGGGTTGAAGCCCTCAGTGCCCTCGGAAGGGTAAGGACCGACCGCCAGCTCTCAGCAGAGCCCGCAGAGGCTCAGCACACGCAGATGAACTAAAGAACTGCTTTTGCAGAACGAACAGCCCCTCACGCCCCCCGTTCCAGGGTAAACGCAGACACGCGGAAGGACAGGGAGAGGGGCGGGCGTGGCACCTTCCCGGCCCCTCATCCCACCGGCGGAACCCACAGAGTGATTCGACCTCTTACAGGGTTGGGCTGATTTATTTGGCCCTGGTTTTGGATACAGGGGCCAAGGCACGCAGCCACGGGGGGTTGAGGCAGGCGGCCGGGCCCGAGGAGAGGAAGGGCAAGGCGCCCTTCCCGTCTGATGCTGGGGACAGGACCAGACCTCATGCAGGAGCGTGTTAGGGGGGTGCACGGGTCGGACCCGGGGTACAGTACACCGACAGGCACGGCCTAGGGAACGGACTGGAATTACACAGGATGGTCCTTTGTACCGATCTTACATTATTAGCACTCGCCAGCATTACAGCTCTGGATCTAAGATCCTCTCTCCCCACTGCCGCACAGCCCCATCCCCGACTGACCCGGATCTGCTTTCAGAACTTCAGCCCCAGATCGGTGCTGAGTGGCAAAAACCTCCCACGAGCTGAAGCGGGGGAAAGAAAACCTGTAAGGAGAAAACTCACCCCCTCCACTCTGCCAGGAAGGACAGAAGTGTTGCCATCTGTGCCCAGTACCACGGTGCTCTGGCTCAAGGTCACCCAGGTGCCCTTGGTGCTGTTTTGCTCCAGTGTGCTCTTACCAAGGCTTAGATTAGCGTCCCCGTCTGTGCTCTGCAAAGCGGGAATTTTGCAGTGAGGAATAGCAGCTTGCCCGGCGGTCCCTACCCCAGGGCTGTGCTTGCAGGGAAAGGCTTCCACAGATTCCCTCCGGAGCGTGGAGTTGGCTTGCACCGGGGTGCTGCTGAGCTTGCAGATCCCGACTTTGGTCCTCTCAAAATCGTTTGGTTTAACTTCTTCGGAGGGAAGTGTTTTGTTGTCGTTAGAGAGCGATGGGGGAAGCCTGGCCGTCGCGGCGGGGGTTTGCGGCGGGGCATTCTGCGGCTCATTTTCGGGGCTGATTCTTACAACCCCCGCACCTTCACTGGGTCCACGAGCCACGGGTTCAGGATTGTTCACAACCTGCTTGCTCATATCCCTTTGACTGGCGTAATCCTAAAGTGAGAACGTCACATATTTTACCAAAAGAAGAAGAAGGGGGGAAAAAAAATGTTGGTGCTGCAGAGATTCTACGAATTTCTGTCCCCGTGCACAAAACGCATGCGCTAGAAAATGTGGATACAGGAGTGTTGCAGAATTTCGAGGAGCCCCGGCTCGCCTGCTTGCCCTCCCACTCAATGTTAATGTTCTGGGGGAAAAACAGTACGGTACAAGGGAAAAAAAAATTATCAAATAAAAACCGGCACCAGCATCTGCAAAACCGTAATTCAAGTTTAAATAAGTGTTTCTACAGCACTGCGCCACCAGATCTCGTTAGATTTCACATCACGACTGTAGGATGCTCCCTTCCCTATCACCAGTGTAGAAAGATTCTTTAATTTTACGCCCCATTTCCTTTCTGTCATTCAACAATGCACATCGACTTTTTTTTTTAATATATATGAGCAAGAGACAAGCTGCCCTGTAGGTAGCAAGGGATGTTAAAAACAAGTGAAATAGTGCTGGTGAACATTTCTGAGCTGGCTGCCATGCTTCAAAGCCTGTCAGCAAGACAGCGAAACGCAAAAAAAAAAAAAAAAAAAAAAACCAAAAAAACCCAAACCAAAACATAACCACACTACCACAGTGGAATTACCGCCAATAACAGCTGGCTTTTCCCTATTCTTTTTCTTATATTTCTGACTCACGTCTCCAAAGATTTTTTTCTTTAAGCATTCCCTATTAATTAAACAGATTATTGATGACACTTTCCCACTCACCCATGCCTTTCCCCTCAGTTAAAAATTATAATTTAAAATGCATCTTTACATTAAACAATCGGCAGAAAACCCCTACATTTTCCATCAGTTTAATATTAGGGTTATATAAGGGTTAATATTTACAAATACACTTTCTTTTTTCAGAATGTTTCACAAAACTGCCCGTCGGCATTTTCCTCACAAGTTTTCTCTCCATCTTAATCCCATCTCCCGGCATCAGGGATAAGATCTGCAAGGACTCAGTCACTAACTGAGTGCATTTTGGGGTACCACCGTTTTCTCCCTCCCTCGCCTCCTTCCTTCCCCGGCAGCATCCCCACCCCGGTCCGCGGGAGCCTTCCCGCTCTGGCTCCGGCGGCAGCACCGCGGACAGCTCTCCCTTAGCCAACTCTTCCCTCCTCCAACCCTTCTCGAGATCGAAGATCAAAAATCAAGCACTTACCATGTCTTAAATAGCCACAGATGGAGTCGATAGAGGTAAAAACAGCGGTACTGGCAATTGGCAGACTGGATTTTGCCCAGTCCAGAGCAAAGCTTTCTATACTTCCTTGGGAAAGACTGGGTTTGCGTCAGTGCATAGCAAGGTGCCCTTCGTGTGACATTTTCTTGATAATAAGAGTTTGATAAATCATTACCCTTGGTTTCAGATTTTAAAGGGACAACGAAAAGCCAGAGCGCCGGCTGCTGTCACTCACGCGGCAGTGGCATTGCGTGTTCCCTGTGACTCATGTGGGGGCTGATTACTAAACCAAATCCAGTAAGAGCATGGGAGAACTTTCTTGCTGGCAGTTAGGGGGAACATGTGAGAAACACGTACTACTGCACCCAAAGCAAGAGAGAAAGGGGGAGAAACCTTCCATTTGTACTCCTCTCCCTCCTCCCTCTTATTGTACCGCTATTCAGTTCCTTTTTTCCTGCATTTCTGCAGTTCATGGTCAGATCAGATATAATTTTATATAATTTTATATATCCATATGCATGGATATGAAAATAAAAATAAAAAAAATGCGAATTTCATATCTGACCACATAGCTACACACGGAGTGAGAAGTTCAAAGTGTATAAACTAAACAAATACATTTAAATTGCATCTCACTTGGTCTCCTTGAACAAAATAACATTATATACTCTATTTTTACTGTGCCTCACGGGGGGAAACCTCAATTAAATTTAAAAGATACACGCAATAAAGCAATTTTTTCTTTCATCAAAACTGTCTTAAAAGCAATTAAGTGGGATTAAAGATGACGGCAACAGCCGTGAAGTTGTTGGTGCTCTTCCCTCACCCGTCAAGACATTTATGTCTGATTACTGGGGACTGGGGGGAAGAGGGGAATTACTCGTCATTAAAAGTAAAGGTGTTAACTCAGAATGGTTTTTGTAACGAAGTAATTCATACATAATCACCTCTCGTAAACGTGTTGCTGTTTGAGGGGATTTCTCAAAGATTGGTTGCTCTCAGGATAATTTTGTTCACACTGACAAAAAAACAAAAAGCGCTTTGGCAAACTGGGGTGCTCCCTAAGCAACCTTCCCAGTTGTTCCAGCGTCAGAGGTGCCGTTCCTCCGCATAGATCGTACTGGCGTCAGCTCCTCCGGAGAGTATTTTACATTTTAGCGTAAGCAGTGTGAAGTGTGTGCGCCCATGCGGGGGAGGGGAGGGGCAGAGGGGGCTAAACTCGCCAGCATCACACGCGTTTCTTCTACGTCCTTGATTTTACGGGTTACCAACGTTTGCTTCAGCGGATAAAATAAATAAAAAATTCGCAGCAGGCCAGACCATTCCGCAGAGCCGTTGGCTCCACCGGGAGCTGCACCCCCGTCAGGGACCAAGGAGCTTTGTTCCACCGCAGGCAGTTCCCGCAGCGCCCGCTCCAACTCCTTCACGTTCCACCTCGTCACTGCGGGTGTCAGCTGAGACTCACTCCGAGAGTTATTGAAAGGCCCACGAAAGCCGAGGAGCTGGCAAAGCAGAACGTTCAAAATCGGTTTTCGAAGATCACTCTGTCTCCCGGCTGAAAAATGCTTTTGCTTTATAGCAGAGCTCCAGAGCACCTTTTAAACACAGCTGTCGTTTGCTTATTGTGATCTTGCTTCGAACACATTCAGGTATAGGAGCTTACCTACATCACAGGTAGTTAATTGTAATATGCACATGTAGGTGTTTTTACACTAACACCCACACCCCGTGTGTGTGGACCGTTGCATGTTCCTGTCTTCAAAGACACTTTTCTGCCTCTTTTCTACCCCGTAGAACAGTAACCTGGTCTAGTGAAAAGTGTCCCTGACCATGGCAGAGATGGGGTGGAACTAGATGAGCTTTAAAATCCCTTTCAAGACAAGCCATTCTACGACTCTGTGTACTCTCCACGGGTCTATTCAGAAATCGAGGGGCGCACACAGAAGCTATCTATAGTAGGGAGGGGAAGAAATCCATGGTGTTTTGCACTATTTCCTTCTCCAACCATCCTCCAGCCTCTGGTCGTTAGCTCCGCTGTGCTGCCCTTCAGCTTACATTAATGCCTCTAAAGGCACAGATCGAATCAAAAGCGACAAGGCAGCAGTCCAGGAAGTATTTTGGTCGTCAAGGTCCCCAAACCTCTACTGGACTCACAGAGTTGACTTATTTTGTTTTCTCAAAAAATCGGCAAAACTCATCCTTCACATTCTTTTCCAAGCGGTATTTTTGCTTTCTCCATCAGCACTGAAATGTGACATCGAAGTTTCACGCCTGGAGAAGGGGAATCGATCTCCTTTCTTTTCAGAAAAGGCAAGAGCACCCTTCTGTGCCCCTTGGAAGTCTATTGGAAGTGGACGGCCGGAGGCTCTCGCTGAGGACCAGAGCCAAGGATCCATTCTTGATCAAGAGGGAAACCCACGGAGAAACACGTCTCTGCTTCCAAACATTTTCCCTTGTCCTATCCCTCCGTGTCTGGCCCTCGGGGCCGTATAGCCCGGCTCCCTACTGCCGCTGCCCTCTCCCACGCGGTTTGGGATGGACACACCTGCTCTGGGTCCAAACCCCGAGTCTGGATTTCCGATTCCTTTCAAAACCAAAACAAATCCCTCCACTGTGGGGTTTTAACTTCCCAGTTAACAAGAAGAAGGTTCATTAAAGTGATTTTTCCGAGCTCCTTCTCATCATCCCTCCCAAACGCCTGTCCCGGAGGCGAACCACCCCTCCCAGCCCACAACACGTCCCTAAGAGATTAAGGCAAAGCACCTGCCTGCAGCTCCCACCAAACACACATCCCTCCCTCGGGGGCAGCGGGGAAGTCACCCACCCTCGACGTAAAAATCCTCTGCCTGAAGGAATCCTGTCTGCTTCCCAAAGGAAGCTGGGGGAGAAGGTGGCTGCTCCAGGGCAGAGAGCTCGTGGTCTTTCCAAATAAAGGGAAGACAGGCCCTCCCTTCCCCGAAAGAGCCCCCTGGGGACCCCTGCGTGCGGTGCCTCCCCGGCGGGGCCAGGGCTGCCCGCAAACCGGCGCCCTCCGTGGTCCGTGGAGCGGACGAGCAAGTCTTAATTACTTTGTCAAAGATGAAAAATAGCAATTGATTTATTTTTGTCTCCTCGCTGGCCATCCTTCCTCTTCCCCTGCCCCTTCTTTGCAGATAAGCAAATACACAAACGAGGGCGGGGGAGCTGAACCCCCGGGAGTGGTTGTCGGGTTGTGCCGGGGCCCCCGCCCCCGCTGGCTTGGAAGGTCCCCCGCGCCGCCCCGTCCCCCTCATCACACGCACTCTCCTGTCTTTATGCCGCATTCGTGCCGTGCCTGAGCGGAAAATTGCCAAGTCACGACAGGAGCAAGCGATGACACCTCTCCACAAACACCCCAAACGCCCACAGGCACCCACAGAGTTCCCATCCCTACGCTAAAATCCCTCGTCTTAGCTACTTTATGAGTTAAGCATTGCAGTCATTGATCTTAAATCCTTCCTTTCCAGTGGAAAGTTTGCCTAAAAGGGATGGAGGCAGCCGCAGCAAGAGCCTGCAACCTCTTCCCCCGTGGCTTCTCCCACGACTCCCAGGCGCAGCCTTTGCGATCTCCGCAAGTGCCGCCCTCTAAAGTGTAGGGACGAGGAAAGCAGCTTGTATCAAGCAATTCCCACAGCACATTAATTCGTGCACCTCGCGGGAGGTTTCCTCCTTGGGCTCACTTTTTCTTTTTTTTTTTTTTTTCTTTTTCTTGGTCAAGGAGCTTCCATGAAAACTCAAAGAAAACCCCTCCGGTGGGAGTTCTGCTTAGCAGACGGCCGTTTACACTCTTTTCTCCCTTAAACCTAAAAGGCAAATCCAATAGCCAGGACAAGGAAGGGTGTGAAGACCCCGGAGAATGCCTTTAAATAACCACTTAAGACTGCGACTGAATGACCTGATTGAACAGAAAGGTAATTAGATTAGAGGTGTTAAACGTTAGCTGTGAAACGCAATGATTCAATCTGGACCAAGTACCTTGTGGATTTGACTTGCAGTCAAATGTGTTTTTCATCTGATCGCGTCCCTTACGTGGGCAGAGGACACTGAATTCAGGGAAGTCATCGGCAAGTGCAAAGGGCTCTTCCTGCAGTGCAGGAGCCCAAGAGATGGGCAGATCCCCGTCGGTTCTCTGAGGATGCATAGCTGCTCCCCGGTGAAAAAACCTGCCCTCACCCAGGGCTTTGGAATCTTGCAGAGAAATCACGGTTTTGGGTAACAAGGGAAAGGTAATATATGTGTAAAAAAGATTATAGCTTTTCTTATAACCAACAATTGTTTAAAACCGTTATGATTTAACTAAAGCAATCCATAATGCAAAGCCAAGAGCAATACTGTACTCGTAGAGCTGAGATAGATATATGCACCAGCAAAAGTAGATATCAATAAGGCAGATCCTGCCAAGGGGTACTTCACCTTCAATTTCTTGTATTTCCCTTTTAATTCTACGTATATACAAAAAATTGTATAGCCTTAACTCAACTGAACAGTTTTCCTGTGCAGGGAGCATGGACCCTTTCTTAAGGCAGAGATTCACCTTACCAGGTTGCAGCATTTTGCCTCTCTCAGTTAATTATATTCAAATAATGAAGAGACTGTAAAAATCTTTCAGGTGATAATTACCTGTTATTCTTTTCCTGTGGAATGCCTCAGGCTCATCCTGTTATTTATTAGCTCCACTGTACACTTTCTGATTAGCTTCCTTCCAATTGCCTGAACTCACATAACTCACTGAAGGCCTTTGGATTTTCAGATAACTGTCAGGGTCTGGCACCCTTATTATAAAAGGAGTCTCTTCCCGGAGAGGTTTAACTCCTTCAGTGGAGACCACTGTAAATAAGAGACTTAAAAGAAAGGGGGATCAGGTGGGGGGAAAACAGAGGCATCTGGAGGAAATTTCTGCACCACTGGCCAGGTATCTATGCTGCTAACAGCTATTTCACCCAGATAGGCATGTTTCTTCATTTGCCTTAAACACAGGGCATAGTCTCAATATATGGCATAATATCACAGGTTTGAACTTCCACTTTGCAATAGAATAGGGCATTAAAAAAAAAATCATATATT